CATCGTCCTCCTGTTGGTATAATAGGCAGTAGACTAGGAGGCGTTCATGATCCAGCGACAGCTTCACCTCCAGATCCATTTAGTCCTTTTGCTATCGATGATGAACCTTTCTTTGGTGGTATGTTTATTGCAGGGGTATGTTGAGTAGGAGAAATGAACGGCGGCATGGAATTCACAGGACTCAAAGGAGAGTGTGGATCATAATCTTCAACAAAACTCGTGTTTATGGACATAAGATTTCTCATGTTATGACCGGGATTAAGGTTGAAAAGATGTCCATTATAACCAGGACCTAATTGTTGACCGTCGTTTTGATTCATATAATTGGAAGCCAAACCCACACTGACACCATGAGGTAGGGATCTTGCGGCGAAATGAACATGAGATGGATCACCGTGTGAGTTATAGAGACTTGGACCATCAATATGTGGATGTAAGGTTGAGGAACCGGAGAATAATCGTCTCGCACTTGATTCTGTAGCTTCTTCTTGTTTACTTTTACGCCTTTCACGTTCAGTTGGGGTCAATAGTTCATTTAAAGAAGACGGAAGACATTCTTCATAATCGTGACCACATAATTCATCAGCCATAGGATCATTATGATGAGAGTAATCATGGATTTCAGGGATACTATGAAGTTGCTGATGAGGGGTAATGGCTGGAGAAAGGAAACCACTATCGCTAATATAGGATGAAACAGGTAAAAAAATAGATTTTGATCCAGCTGGTTGAAACGGAGAAGTTCCAAAAGATTCAGCAGCATTAACCGGCAAATGAAAGATATCTGGTAAAGACCTTCGTTGTTGACCATTGATGTTCATAGGAGCGGATAAATGATCATTGCTGTAATTATTACGTAATCTATGCGTAGGATGAATTTCGTCAGAAAAAGGATGTTGATCGTTCAAATTCAGAGAAGCGGTCAATTGACTGAATTTGTTATTATTTGGATATTCAGGAGGACTAATAGGAATGCGAGAGAAAGGAATGCCAGGAGAATTTAAAGGTTGAAATTCATCCTGACTATATTGAGGGTGCATAATTGGAGATCTAATTTCTGGAATATTGTTTGAAATGCCATTTCTCGATCCATTCAAATTACCACCATTCTTGCTGCTTCTGCCATTGGCTTTTGAATTGCCATTTGGTAAATTATGAGAAAGAGCACACCTGCTTCCATATTTACAGTTTCCTTTCAAATAGTATTTGCACACGTAGTTATCTGCTGAAGGATCTTTACTATGCGAAAACACGCAATTTTTTCCAGCGGTACATGCGCCACTTTTGAAGAATTTGCACGGAATATGTGCGAGATTACTGTTACCTTCATAGGTCATATCGATTTGGTGCAAGTAAGAGAGTATAGTCAAAGAAAAGAAATACAGACGTTATATAGGTTAGTGGTTGATAAAAATAGGTAATACAACAAAAGTCTAATTTAGAGGTAATCGCACAAGTAATGCTAAATAATGATGAGATATGGATGATGATGGCTGTTCTTGTGATCAAAAAATTCATCTTTCAAGATGATAATTCCTTATTGGCTCAAAATTTTCATTTACATAAAAATCAGATAAAGCGTGTCGAATTATACGTAATAATAGTATAATGAAGGCATATTTTCACAACATGTTATGATATAGCTGACGTGACAACATGAAGTATCCTTTTACGGTAGACTCAATAAAAGATGCTAATTTTCGCTGGTCACCATAACTAACATTTCCTTCATATTCATCCATATAACGATTTGATCAATCGAGAAGTACTTACTCTTTGAGCCATTAACTTTTCCATCATTGGAGTTATTGTTGTTGTTTTGATTACCTTTTCTTCTAGGGGGATGCGAAGGAAAACCTGGTGTAACACTGTTTGTAGGAGTTACGGGGGCAGAGATTGCTTGAGAAATAGGACTGGTTAGAGGCTCTTGCTGGTAGTTGAAAGGAAAAGACTCGGAAGTCGAGGTTGGGATGGAGGGAGAAGTTATGATTGAAGGTATACTGAGAAAATTGTTGTCTATTTGTTGTCTAGGGTACATTTGAGCGAGGATCGATGGGTGATTGGGGAGTGAAGTTGCTTGCATGATTAAAGCAATGTCAAAAGTTTGGCACTGTTAACATGCGCGTTGTCTATTCTTGATTTTTATTTATTTATTTTATTTTATTTTATTTTTTTTTTTTTTTTTTATTTTTTTTTTTTTTACTCGTAATATCTTTAGTCACTTTTTTTTTTTGGAAGACTTGTTCACTTTTTGTTTTTAGGAAAAGAGAAAAAAGAACAAGAAAAAAAAAAAAAATTAATTACAAGAGGTATTTTGTACAATTATCAGTTGTGAGAAAAAGAGGGAACCGATGGAAAGAAGTGAGAGGTACAGCAGTGTAAGGTGTAAGGAAGGGTTATCGTTTTTACTTTGAGCCGATGTTAATGTTGAGTGACCGACTAACTTGCTTCTTTGAATGGGATGACAAAATAGTATGTGTAACAGGTAACCGAACCTAAAAGAGAAACCTGCACCTCAACGATGACACATAAAAAAAACACGCAAGCACACTTTTTTTTTGTTTCTCGTTGCGCAAGGACTTTGTGATTAGTAAGGGATGTGATGGCCTTAGAAGGTTGGCTTGATGGATTGCCAGAAGAAACAATATTTATATTAAGTTTTGTGCTAATTTATCTGCATTAATATAACTTTTAATAAGAAGATTTTAACTGATAGTCGTATTAGTATTTATTAGTATCAAAAAAAATATATTAATAAAATTTATCATACGTATTTCATGTAGACCAATGCGTTCAATGTATCATTATATTCGTTATACAGTTATATTGCTAAAAATAGCGTTGATCGTGGCGGAGTTTTAAATCCTTTGGGTATCTTGTATGTGAAAACAAAGAAAAAATAGGCTACGTAGATCAAACCCTACGTCCCTGAATCGATGACAGCATTTTCAAATCATAATCCAATTTAGTCTATTGCTACAAGGATGACTCATTCCACTAGCATTTACTCTAGTTACGACAAATTGCTAATTCGGAAACGAGACCCTTTAAATGTATGCTAGTAACCATTTGATTGGGGAAGTAAATCATATCATGTTTTTGGCGGGAAATAACAAGATTTGAGTTTTACGGACAAATGTTTGTATTATGTGACATGGAAATAGTGTCGGTATCAATTTACATATTCGGATTATTTCTTTTGTCGTTTTTATTAATATTTGCTTCCTGCAAGAACCCCTCCCTTCGCCTTGTTCCGTATTTATTGGTTAAACCTTCTGTTCGGCTCTTTAAACCATGGCCGAATGTTTCTGCAAAACATTGAGTCAATAGTGATACCAAATCAACATAAAATGCTTATGACTGGTGCTCAAATGAATGATATCAAGTTGCGCCACAAGCGATACCATTGCTTTATTGGACCAATACAGTATCATGCATGCACTTTCCCGTTCGCATTGTCAAATTAAATTTGTTTTTCATGGCAGAACAAATGTAAGGTAAATCAATCTTTCACCAGATATAAAGTTATGATGGCGGGTGGTATCTTTTCCCGTATTGAATCAAATAATAAATGCTATTTGATGTCTCTGCAATTGATCGTCTTCTTCTTTTGACAGATGTATTCTTGCTGGCTTGGCAAATTGCTCATCTTATCTATGTAATCATAAATGATTAGTATATATTTTGTAACAAACTTTAACGCTTAAGTGTGGCTTGTTATAGAAGTATGTATAAATAAAGAAATTGATTAGTCTACAATAAAATAATGTGACTTCAGGGAAATTGTCGACGCTTTTGGACTTTTCTTATCCTTTTCTGGTGAATATTTCAATGACTTGGTCAGACGACGTACCATTTGATCATATTAATATATGATATTCTTGTTTGAACAGGCATAGTTCTTGTTAACATTATAAATAATCGTCCATTTAATTACAAATTGTAAAATGCATTGCTTGTCAATGTTAATCCAGATTTTTTTTATACATATGATCGTAAAATTAATTAAACATTGACGTTAAAAAAAAACAAGGTAGACATGTAATAACAGGTTATACAGTAATAAAGACAAACAATGAATATCTTAGACCGGAACGATCGCTACATATTAATATTTTATTTTAAAATATCCGAATGTCTTTCTACTGGTAAAAAAAAATAAAATAAATATAAATGAATCATGTGGTTATTATTGATTATTAAAGGTTGTGGCTCTTCTTCTTTTCGCTAGAAGTGACAAATAGTGTCTCCAGCATCATAGGCAATCTTCCAGAATTCTTTTTTAATTTGACCATATTACAAACGATTTTCTTATTGGTGTTGGCTAAATTATCTTGGAATTCCAATTGGATCTTTTCTGCAAATTGACATACGTATGATTTATTAGTACGTTAACCACTAAAATTATAAATTTAAACTCGAAATAATTTCTAAATAATATACAATCAAAAATAATACCTTCTTTTTTGCAAATAGACATACGTATAATTTATTAGCACGTTAACCACTAATATTATAAATTTAAGCTCGAAATAATTCAAAAAATAATATATTATATAATTTTATTGCTAAATTTACGTATATTTATTTATATATATATATATAAATAAAAACAAATATATATATATATATATATGAAAAAATATATAATAGTTTATAAAAAAAAAAAATTTATTAAAAAGTTTTACTATACTGTTTATATTATTTAATTAAATACGATTTAAACAATTACAGTATACTTAATAATTATACTGTATAATTAATATATTATATAATTTAATTAAATATAATTTTATACTTTTTTATATAAGTTTATTGTAGACAAATTTACTTGCAAAATTTTCAATAAAATCCTAAATATTAATTTTGACTATATATTATATTTTCTAAATAAAAATATAATTTTATTTTGTTTTATTAAAAGTAGTATTATTTATTTCTAATTTTTTTATTACAGTAAAAGTTTATTTTTTTTTACTACAGTATATACAGCCAAACCTCTCTATAGTCACTCTCTATATAAGCACATTATATAAAAATTCTCTTTATAAACACATTTATTTTAAAACTAACTATTATAAACATATAGAAAAAAAACTTCTTTATAGACACATCTTAGTAAAATTTTTTTTACAATTATACAAATCTTTATCCTGAGGGGTGTGATTATAGAGAAGTTAGACTATATATATTTTTTTATATAGTAGACAATTATTATTATAATAAGCTAGAAAGGCTATATAGAAAAGCAGATCCAGTAGAAAGATATTTACAAATCAACCAGATATGCCAGTTTATAGATGAATTAAGAGCAAAGTTGAGAAAACTGGTAAAAATAAAATATTCAACGATCTTACAACAGGCTTTAAAGAAAGCAAAAGTTACTGAAGCTACATATTCTAGAGAAGGCTCTTTAAATTTATATTTTCTAAAGAGAAGCTATCTAAGTTGTGAGAGACCTGATAATAAAAAAATTAAGACATATGGGCTGATTTATGAAATTGCTAATAACTTTTAATATACTACTTCATTTTAAATAATTTTACTACCAAAATGTTCAGCTCAATGAGACGATTCTAATGAATCCAAAATTATTAAAATCCAATTACAGGATCCCGAGATAATTAAAGTTTTGTATAAATTTACTATTAATTTTAGAGTTATTATATAAATACACTTAATTGGTAATCCACCAGTCAACCAGAGAATGATCATAGTAAAATGTGACTCAAATTACTTATAAAAATTAGGGGT